CACACTGTTTTTTTACTTTAAAAATTACGTTACACGGCATAAAAAATTGGTGCAACATTCGAATGTCCACCATGCTACTTACCCCCTATGAAATAAAAAAAAACAAATTATTTAATTAGATGATGTTTATTTTGTGTTGTAAAATAAATTATAATATGGAACATTTCACAGCAAAAACCACCTCTCAGAAAAATAGATTATTTTGAGTAAACACATGTTCAAAATTTGTTACACAGAAAAAGAAAATTGCCCCTAAAATTTTTTGATCATTGATTATCCCAAATTTAGTAAACAAGAAATTATAACATCTGAACTACATAATGCTAAAAATTATAATAGCCCAAATTTTATAAATAAAATTAATTTATCAATTTTATAAGTATAAATATTGTACATAAGAATTTGCATGTGATGGATTTTTTGGATCAATTAAAAAAGTATATAGAAATAGAGTTATAAATACTGTTGATCATATTGAAGAAGCTATAAATGATTCATCAAAAAATTGTAATATATAATCAATCTATTAGATATAAAAATGGTATGGGATGGAAATGGTATGACTTTAGCTTACTATTTAATGACAATTTCAGAAAATTACCAAATATAAAAAAATACCATCATTTTTGCTTTAGTAGTAAGGATATTGGAAAAGTTTATGTTTCTGAAAAATCTGGTGGCTTGGAAATTTCTTTTAAACTTCTAAAGAAGGATGGCCAATTAAATATTATTGAGGTTGTTCCATTAACAGATGATAGAAAAAAATATTTGTTTACAAAAATTTGCCAACATGTAGAAGACCGACCCATTTAAAGATATTCTTTGTCCAGAACCTAATATTTATCGATTTTTATTTTAATGTATATTGATATTAATATGTATGTATTTTTTTAAAAAAATTTATTTTTGCGTGTAACAATAAAATGGGGTGTGCAGATCAATTTATTATTTTGTGCAAATTACTTTAAAGAAGATATCCGTTTGCAAATTCCCAGTTTTTTTATTAAGCAAATAGGGTCTAATATTTTCACCAATTATAATTTATATATTATAGATTATTATTATGTAAAAAGCTCAATTTTGGTCAGATGACCCCAGAGGTGGTCTTTGCTGTGAAACGTCCCATATAATACTCACCAACTGGTTATTTATTATAAAGAAGTAAAAAAACAAATTATTTAATTAGATGATGTTATTTTGTGTTATAAAAGTTAAATTATAATATAATACTTACGCCCTGGTTATTATAAAGAAATAAAAAAACAAATTATTTAATTAGATGATGTTTATTTTGTGTTGTAAAAATTAAATTATAATATAATACTTACTTGCTGGTTATTATAAAGAAATAAAAAATCAAATTATTTAATTAGATAATGTTTATTTTGTGTTGTAAAAGTTAAATTATAGTATAATCCTTACCAGCTGGTTATTATAAAGAAATAAAAAATCAAATTATTTAATTAGATGATGTTTATTTTGTGTTGTAAAAGTTAAATTATAATATAATACTTACGCTCTATGAAATAAAAAAACAAATTATTTAATTAGATGATGTTTATTTTGTGTTGTAAAAGTTAATCTAATACTTACCCCCTGGTTATTATAAAGAAATAAAAAAATAAATTATTTAATTAGATGATGTTTATTTTGTGTTGCAAAATATTTATTTACCTTTATAGAATTTAGCTATCATTTTATTATAAAGCAAAATATTAAATTACAATGTAAAAATACCACATATTTTTAAAATAGTTATTTTCTGTGTAAGAAAAAAATACCTTCGTTCATTTTTTTTTTACTAGAGCAAGAATTCCTCAAGACCGGTGTGTTTATTTAAGTAGGATATATAATAATTAATATCAGTCACAGGCAGATCAATAGGAGTTGTAAAACATATATAGTAAATTTTTGATGATCTGCATCATAGTAAAATTCGAATTTACATATATAGTAATGGTAAAATTTTACAATCAAGTGACTTCTAATCCCCATTTAATACTTCTTTATCATATGTATCTGCTTTAAGAAAATTTTTAAAGCAGGTTGTTAATAAAACCGAAAATAATCTGACCCTCAAAGTCAAATTTTGCCTTTATAT